TTGATGAGGACACTTCCGGGCAACGTGACATTGAGGCGGGCTGTCCTGTGGCACTCGACTCGAATATGGACGAACATCGAAGACTTTGGCCAGAACACAATGAAGCTCTATGGCCGTTAAAGTGAAAGTTAAGGTTTTTTTGGCATTGTGAATGGACACTCAAGAAGTTTTGGTCAGAAGAGATTTGCTCTTGCAGGGAACCACTTTAGAAATGCAAAGTGTGTACCACATATAGCCAGTGATACGCACTAATTTCAGAAGATATTACGAAAGCCATCAGACATGTATCATAGTGCAGCCATCTGGCCTCACTTTCAAATGTTTTTAAATTCAGCATAAAACATTAGTGTATGTTTAATCCCAAATTTTAAACTCAGGCATGCAACTGGGAAATCACAAAAAAAGAGGAAATTCAAATTTTTCCCAGACTTTGTACAGTGTTTTTCTATTTTCAATGGCACACATGGGAAGTTAAAAAAAGAGAGGAAATCAGCTGATCCGAGGAAAAGTTGCATGCCTGTAAACCAGAGGTTGTAGGAACAACCACACGGTGTTGAGCCGTTGTTAATGTTGATTGTTGATTGTTAATGTTGAGGTTGAGGGTTGAAAAATAGTGCGTGTAGTAATTATACAGAGGATAGTTAAAAAGAGTCAGGTGAGGATCTACTGTACACACGCGTGTGCTGCTGTACTGTAAACTTATCAAGTACAATCGTTACAGAAACCCATTAAATAGCTTATATCTCTAAAAGTAAAGGTCGCACACCATTGGCGCAATACAAAATATTGCTCGCCATACACTCTTTACCTCAATGCGCGTGTTTTTAGAAGAAAAAAAAACATTAAAAAAAAGAAAAGCGCCCAAATTTTTTGCCAGCCCAATTTGTGAGAAAATAGAAAAACACTGTACAAAGTCTGGGAAAACTTTTTGACTTCTGATGACGTCATATACGTCATCAGAAGTCAAAAATGTGCTTGCGTTATGAAGTTGTCATATAAACGTGTACAAAACACTGGTAAACACTTAAAATACATTGGTTCATCAAACAGCCGTTACATGAAGCTCAATAGTTAACATACAACAGTCGTAAAACCAAACACTCAAGAAACGAGCACGGGGAATTCCCCTTTGTACGCAATCATAGCACGCTGTTATTCAGGAAATTCCCCTTGTACGCAATCATCCCCATTTGCTTTACACACAATGTACGTGGCATTAAATGAACGTTTCAAGGCGTATATATAGGCGTTTTCAACTTCAAATGTCAAGGGGGCTGCAGGACATCTCCAAGTTTACTTATTGAAACGAAACCTGGGGAAGTTTAAGACCTATTAAAGTGCAATTTAAAGCACAAATCGAGATAAAAATTGTCAGGGTTGATTTTTCAGGAATTTTCAAAGGAAAAGAGGTCTTTTTATTCTAACTTCCGGTCTGATGACGTAATCATTTTTTTTTCGCGCATAGGTCTTGTCTGCATTAAGGTCATCATATATATTGATTTTAAAGCGATTGCCGCAAATTTCGCCACAGACATCCATTGAAAATGCGTTTTTGACTTTTTTTCAACCTGCCGCTAGAGGGCACTCTAACATTTTATTACGTCACCAGTAATTTTTTTGGAAAGGCCAACCTTCCCAGAGACTAACATCTTTGAAAGCAAGTTCATTTTCTTTTTCCAATTTAAATTATTAGGCACTTCCGGCTTCAAAAGGAAGGAAGGGTCACGTGATTTTACGCGCACAAGGTAAATTGAAGATCATGTATTATCATGTTGATTCCCGCAAAATTCAAGTTCCGGTCTCTCACGGTTGATTTTATATTGAATTTCAAAGATTAGATTTATTCTTTTTGCAAGTGATGTTATGTGACCCGTGATGACGTCCTAATGACGTAATTGCAGAAAAGCACAACTTCAGTGAGTAATGTATTCATGTATTGACAATTGAAGTTCATATATGTTTTGATTTTGACAAACAGTTCTGAAAGAAGAATTTGTCTTGGAGAATAAATATTAAGAATAAGAATAATAATAGTAAATTAATAGAATAACAATAGGTGTTGGGCTCATGGCCCAACACCTAATTATTCATCAGAGTAGATTAGTACTTATTTGTAATTAACTTTATGTCATTGCTTTCATTTCTCTTCGCAGGTTCCAAAAATGAAGATTTCACCTTGCTTTCAATTGAATATAACTGACTTGTGAATAAAGCCCATACGCATAAAGGGCATTTAATTTTCACAAACACACCACTTGTGTATGTTGTCCTCAATTTGACAGGCACCACTCACATGATAGAAATGGCCTCTATTTGATAGAATACCAAGTATGTCCACAATGCCCATTGGTGCACATGTACATGTATGTATGAGCGTGTTCATCTTTTCAAACCATGGACAAAACAAAAGAGAACAATATCGTCCTCGATTCCCAGCTTTCGTCCGCGATTGGGGTCGTGTACAAAACCTATGTGAGTTTAGAGGGACAATAGGACATCCACGATCGACAGTGTGAACACGACTGCGTGGGTGCGTGTGTACATGGTATACGGCTGTCGTGCCGTTGCCACAACGCAACCATGAATCAAGGGCGGATCCAGAACACAATTTTGTTTATTCTAAGTGTGCTCTGTGGTGTGATCTGAGGCAATTTCTAACCACTTTAACTAAATTTGTTTGAGGAAAAGGAAAAAACTTGGGTTCGGTTTTAAGAATGACACGTGAAACAATGGAAAACCATGGGTTTTGCTATCCAGTGAGGAATAGATGCAAAATGGCAGCAATTATGATAGAATGTGGGAACTGTTGTCACAGTGTAGCCAGGCCGGTCTTCGAATTTTTTTCTATAGTGAGTTGCTCAAAATGACATGCATAATTCAATTTTCTTTTGAATAGTTGCAAGACACTTAGGTTCTCTTTTTTCCCTTAAAATAAAATTATCTCAACGATAAATTTAGAGAAGAAAAATAGTCGATGAAAGTGAGCAGCGACGATGTGGATTTGAACCAGGGATCTTGGTATCCATAACTCATGACACTATCCACTACGCTACGGTGGTAGCTCGACATCTGTACTTTAAAATGCTTAAAAGGTAACTGGTTGCAGCGGCGTAGCGTAGTCTAGCCACTAATCTCATCCTATTATAAGATTGAATTTTTTTGGCGTCGGGGTGATATAAATCAAAATAGGTTTTGCCCTTCACCGACGTTTAAACACTGTATACTCAGTGTGTTACCTCCCGAGTGAAAGTTGGAAAAAAATCACTTGGGTGGGACTCCAACCCACGACCTCCTGCTTTCTAGTGTAGATGTCTTACCACTCGACCACCGAGCATTTAGCTGCAACGTCACTACAAATGAATAGAATTATAGAATTATAGAATTTTGCTCAAAACTTTCTGAACTGAAGCACTCTATTAAAAAACTTTTTGTTTACTCTAAAATGGCCTGCAAATGCGAACAAGCAATTTTATTTGTTACAGGACATATTTTTTCCTTGAAAAATCGTTCGGAAAAGAAAATCAAAATTTTGAAAAAGCACGAATATAGCAACTTTAAGGGCAAAATCCAAAATCCAATTTTGAATTTACTCAGTTCTTGCCCAACAACATTTGCCTTTAATCTCAGGCTCCAAATAAAATATGGTATTCATCAGGGGTTCCATTAGCGATCCACATTTCAAGGTAGAGGCCAATATATATAATACATGTACTCTGTTAGTGAGGTGGTGAGGCATGAAGTAGAACACACATGCAGTGTCTATGGTTTGTGTATTATGTTCATGGAACTTTGCACATGCCCTAGCCAACACCAAACGGGGAAGGTTCCCCTTGTTAGGGAAATTAGGATCGTGTTATGGGGACTTTCTGCTGTGCCTATTGCATATTCAGTCCGCATAATAAATATCGCTCAGCTCAACAGGTGATGTCCACATATTATTTTTTTACGGAACAAAATTGTATGATCTTACTGTTGTAGAATTTGGACAGGTAAATCTTTTTTTCATAAAGTGACCAATATAACTCCAAATTGCGTAACGACTTACTTTCAATGACTAAAACAATAGTATACAAATACAGCATAGTTTGAGGGGAAGCACCGGTAGTGGGAATTACTGGTCCCGAGGTTCGCGTCGGGAGGTAGTCAAGCTGACTTACACCGAGGGACAAGTAATTCGAATAATTTTCCAGAAATAAACCATGCTTTATTTGTTTTACTACACCTGCCTTTTTAATAGACTCACTGCCTTGTCGATAACGGCCTTCATAGATTTTGCATCTTATGATTCAGTACAAGATATTCAAGTTCTTCGTCAGGGTCAATGAAATAGTCTGATACCAACACTCTGTAATGTGTCTTTACTGCAGTAGTCACGAAGAGTACAACAGACTGGTTCCATAAACATTACATGCCACAGACTACATGTCTACGAGGCGGGTTCCAGCGGGAATATTTGGTGTTACCAGAAAAAAATACTGCAAGTGAGACTTGCCAAATCCCCCTGGCATGCTGGCTGTTTTAAATGTTTATGGTGCAAATCGAGGATTTTCTTTTATTCCTCTTCCCTTTTCCTTTGTTTGGACTTCAACTTTTTCGTAACAGCTCTCATTGGTTTTATACACCTTTGCCAACCGAGGAGTCCTCGATTCGGTTTCTGGACTCGATCCAACGATGATGTTGCACGTGTTTGTCCTCGATTCACACCATAAACAAATGCACCCATAGGCATGCACACCCATAGGCATGCACACCCATACACAACCAGGATGACCCAATATCTCCCTCCGGCTTACAGCCAGGGGGATAATAATAATTACAGCCAGGGGGATAAAAAATACCGCACCGCAGCAAGCTGGATACTCACCAGAATGACGTCACCTATAGGTACGTATCATTTTTACTTCCCAGACGCGCGGCGGAATCGGTCAATGACGTGCTCCAATTTGATCATGAATACTCATGAGGTGTGGTCATATAATTTAGTGAATTCTTGGTTTGTGTTTTTGTCCAGTCAGCATGGTTACAGTGCCATGCTCAAAATGTACCTACTGAAGTAGCTTGCCCATTGTTTCCACTAGCCACAGATAAAGTGTCTGTATCACGTAATACTTACTTACATGTTACAAATAAGTTCTAAGGAAAATAATATCCTGAATTAATAAACAAACAAAATCTATCTGTTGCACACAATAGATGACATTTAGTTGATACTCCCTTTATGCATATAAAACCAATGCTGTTTCTTGGGCCTTACACTCTTCTCTCTTGGTGAGTTACTCCCCTTAGATTTGGGACTCTGTGTTGAAGATGACCTGTCCCCATCCCTAGGAGGTGAACAGAGTGGTGCTGAAAGGATGCTGGAAGTTTTAGGGATTTCTACAAAAAGCAACTCGTCCAATCCCACTGGCTGTAATGACTTCTCTTGAAAATCAACTCCCTTATTAGAGCTGGAGGCTACGTGTAAAGGCAAGATAGAATCTTCCCCACCTGGGATCCCTGTACCTTTGCAATCGATACTCTGGCAAATGCTATGCATTTTGTTGCTATTTTGGGCATCTTCAACTTGGCCAGATTTCTCAAGACACTCCTGAAGGGTTTTTCCTTCATTATAAATTACCTTATTGTTTGTCAACTGTAAAGTGTGATCTTTGTGCATTTCTTTGTTCTCACACTCTTTTCTACGCACGCTTTGTTCGGTTTTTGAGGGTATCTCCGTTTCTTTTATACTTTGTCTGTTGGTAAAGTTCTTCTGTTTCTCCTTCTGCAGCTTATCGCCAACAGCTTTTTCAGACAAATCAGTTGTCAAATTGTGCTCATTTGCCACTTGCTTTTCTCATTCTTATTTTCCATGTTGGTTTTGGAGAGAACGTTCTTGTCAAATATTGGGGACGACTCTGCAATGGAGGATACAACCCCTACCACTTTCTTGAATCGGATATTGGTAATCCTCCCCTTAACATCTTTTTCAGTTTCTGCAACTTCAGCTTCTAATTTTTCACTGGATTCTCCATCAGACTCAGTGGTTCCTTTCTCCAGGTTTTCCGATGAGGAATCCCTCCCTGATGCATTGTGCTCCCAGAGAAGCAGCTTATTCTCCTTGCTTTCCACATGTAACTTTCTGCTGGCTTCATTTTCATTCTTCTCATTCCTTTTGTCCGGGACAGATACCCCTTTTGGGGTCAGCTCAAAGGAAGTCTTTCCTAGGTCTAACTTCTCCAAAGCATCTTCCTCTGAATCTAAGTCTGAATTATCCCTTGAGGAAAAGTTCAGCATCTCCAGTTTCCACTTGTAATCATCTTCTGAATCATTAGTTGCCAACAATGGTAACGAGTTTGGCAGCGGTTGGTCCTCATCCTCAGTTCTAGTCTTACTCACATTGAGAATTATCTTCCGCAGTGTAACTGGAGAGAGGTTATCAACCTCACACTCCACGTGGAAAGGCTCCAATTCCTGTGGTTCATCCGAGGCACACGAGTAGAGTTTCAGGTAAGGGTGACTGATCGCTTCTTCAGCAGATGCTCTGTCATTCGAGTTGAATGTCAACAAGGATTTAAGGAGATCTAATGCTGTAAAAAAAAAAGAAGGGTCTTTTAAAAAAAATGTTCAAATATCAAAGAAAAAATGGGACATATGACAATGAGTTTTGAAGCATGTTACGTAACATGGTTATGAGAGGAGCACACAAATATAAAGTTCAAGCGAATTTATATGTACATGTAATAGCAAACTGAGGAAATTAACAATTCTGGAAAAAGAAGGATAGCTTTAAATTAGAGGTTATAGGAACAACCACACGGTGTTGGGCCATGGATTACCGCAAACTTTGCCACACACATCAACTCAAAATATGCATGTTTAAATCCATGTTTGACTTTTTCAACATGCCACTAGAGGGCGCTCTAACATTTGATGACATCACCTGTAAAATTTTGTACAGTTCTGCCTAGGCAGACACTCACATCTTTGAAAGCAAGCTCGCATCTTCTGCCAATTTCAAATAATAAGGCACTTCCGGTTTCGTCCAGAAGGAAGGGTCACGAGATTTTGCACTTAATACCAAAAATGAACACCCTGCAATATTATATCGACTGCCATAAAAACAAAATCAAATCTGTAGCAGTTGATTTTATATTGATTTTCAAAGAGTAAATCTAGAAATCCTTGATTGCTTATAATATGATACTTGATGACGTCATTGGGACGTTATTACCAGAAAGTTCAAGAGCTATTTTAACTGTGCTATATTATAGCAAAATCTTGATTACAGTATATCTATCACGGTTGATTTTTTTAGCAATTTTTGAAAGTTTAAAGGTCTTTTTATTGTAACTTCCGATCTGATGGCGTAATCAATTTTTTTTCTTGCACATAGGTCTTGTCTGCATTAAGGTCATCATGTACATTAATTTTGAAGCGAATATTGCAAACTTCGCCACAGACATCAAGTGAAAATGCGTTTTTCACGTTTTTTAACCTGCCGCTAGAGGGCGCACCAACTCTTCATGGCGTCACCTATTTTTTTTTTTGAAAGGTTAATCCAAGCAGACACCGCCATCTTTGAAAGCAAGCTCATATCTTTTTCCACTTTCAAATTATTAGGCACTTACGGTTTCGACCAGAAGGAAGGGTCACGTGATTTGACGCGCACAGGATAAAAGGAAGAGTATGTATTATCATGTCGATTCCCGCAAAAATCAAGTTCTGGTCTCTTACGGTTGATTTTATATTGAAATCCAAAGATTAAATTATATTTTGAAGTGACGTCATGTGACCCACAATGATGTCATGACGTAATTACAAAAAAATTAATCTGCAGTGGGTTGGGCATTCGTGTATTGACAATTGAAGTTCATATATGTTTTCATTTTGACAAACAGTTCCGGAGAAGAATCTTTCTTGAATAAAAAAAAACCCAAGAATATTGAATTCATAGAATAACAATAGGTTTTGGGCTCAAGGCCCAACACCTAATAAGTGAAGCCACTAACCACGGCAAAATCAGAAATGGTTATCAGAGCAATGTCCCAACACTGACCTACATGTACATGTATACTATATTATCCAGAGCGCCAACCTGTCAAACATGCTTAGGCTCATAAGGTTATTGCATACATAAACAAATGGAAATGTAAAAAAAAAATGAACTGCTTTGCTACAGCTAAACATCTGGTTGGGGGGCATAGGGTTTTTGTAAGCACCGTCGATATCAGAATTTTAAATATTGATATATCAGAAATCCAATATCGAGAATATTTGATATATATCAATTATCCCATATGTAAAAGTTAAAGACCACAAAGATATCACATTGATTACAACAAAAAACTGGAGGTTCGCGTTTGTTGAGTTACAAACGCAGAGAGGTCGGGCAGACAACTATGTCATTTAAGACTGCCCAGTACTTTGTAAGTTATGAATATTTCTTTGTCAGTACAAAGGATCACAAAATTTTACCTTTCCAGTACAACCAATTATTTTATTTAAAAAAGGTTATGATAAATTTCAGTATACATTTCCATGTACACGTACATGTAATTTCTGGTTTGTGACGCCATCAGTTAAAAAAAAGGGAAGCAAATACTGATTTAATTCTGAGAGGAAACATGTCCATCATGAATTTAAATGACGTAACTATGAAAATATGGAAAATATAAGTGTATGTATTAATAACAGCTAGCTTTTGGTTTGATGGCTTCACAGCATTAGGGATCCAAACGTCAACATTGTAATGGATACACATGGAAGTTTCAGACCTACATTTACATTGACATTTAAAACAGAAATCTCTCAAGGAAAAAAAGGTCTTCATTCTAACTTCTGATGAAGTCATCAATTTTTTTTGCCGCACGTGTTCTCTACATAAAGTTCATCATATATATTGATTTTGAAGTGATTACTGCAAACTTTGCTATAATAATTAACTAAAAATTCCTTGAACATTTTTTTAACTCTATCATTTTTTGACGTCACTGGTAATTTTTTTTTTTAAGTACAACCTAGCCAGAGACTGACTTGGAAGAAAGTAAGTTCACATCTTTTTCCACTTTCAATTATAAGGAACTTCTGGTTTGGACCGGAAGGAAGGGTCACATGATTAAAACGTAATATCCAAAAAAGAAGACCCTGGATTATTCTATCAATTCCCTTAAAAAGCAAAATCAGATCTCTCACAGTTGATTATATATTGATTTTTAAACATTAAATCCATAAATCTTTGGTTGCTTGTACACTGATGATGTCATCGTGAGGTCATTACCAGAATGCTCGAGAGCTATGTGACCTGCGCTATTTGAATACAAAATCTGGATTTTTCTCTTGCAGTTGATTTTCCAGCAATTTTTAAGGTTTTAATCTCTTTTCATTGTAACTTCATTGTAAAGTACAACCTAGCCACAGACTGACTTGGAAGAAAGCAAGTTCACATCTTTTTCCACTTTCAATTATAAGGAACTTCTGGTTTGGACCGGAAGGAAGGGAAACATGATTAAAACGTAATATCCAAAAAGAAGACCCTGGATTATTCTATCAATTCCCTTAAAAAGCAAAATCAGATCTCTCACAGTTGATTATATATTGATTTTTAAACATTAAATCCATAAATCTTTGGTTGCTTGTACACTGATGATGTCATCGTGAGGTCATTACCAGAATGCTCGAGAGCTATGTGACCTGCGCTATTTGAATAAAAAATCTGGATTTTTCTCTTGCAGTTGATTTTCCAGCAATTTTTAAGGTTTTAATGTCTTTTCATTGTAACTTCATTGTAAAGTACAACCTAGCCACAGACTGACTTTGTAGAAAGCAAGTTCACATCTTTTTCCACTTGCAAATTATAAGGCACTTCCCGTTTGGAACGGAAGGAAGGGTCACATGATTTTGCACATAATATCAACAAAGAAGACCATGGATTATTCTATCCATTCCTTTAAAAAGCAAAATCAGATCTCTCACAGTTGATTATATAGTGATTTTCAAAGATTAAATCCAAAAATATTTGGTTGCTTGTACACTGATGATGTCATTGCGACATCATTACCAGAAGGCTTGAGGGCAATGTGAACTGTGCTATTTGAATAAAAAATCTGGATTATATCTCTTGCAGTTGATTTTCCAGCAATTTTTAAGGTTTAAATGTCTTTTCATTGTAACTTCTGGTCTTGTGATGTCATCAATCTTTCTGCCCCTCAACTTGTTCTTAGCATGAAGCTGATTATATACATCAATTATACATTTATACAATTATACAATTATACATTTTTGCATTGTGGTCTTGGTTTGTACTAAGGTTGAAGTCAATCCAGTGAAAGGAAGTGTTAAATTTAGGAAGTGCAATGAAATTGTAAATATGAATAAAAATCATTAAAAAAATCAGCTGATGATGTTATGGTGATGTCTTTTCGGAATTTGCATACTGGTTCCATTATCTGGCTATCCACCAAATTTCATGACGATCAGACCTTCCCTTATATGTGTTTTCAAAAATCGCATTTTTGATGACGTCATCATGACGTCAAACATTTTCAAACTTTTGTGCATATACCTATTACATAACAAACATAATACAAAAAGAATTTTGAATGTTGCATGTTGCGTTCGTGAGATATGGCTTAAAGCTCCAAAAATATGTATAACACATCCCGGTCTACTTACATACCAAATTTTACCCAATCGAACTTACAGTTCTCTAGATATAGGACTTTACAATATGCACATTTAAAATGACGTCACGTGACCCATGATGACGTCACCATGACGTCACTCTTCAGGACACAACTTTGCTATAAGGGCAATGCCTGTGGTAACTTTGAATGATATATGAAAAAGATTAGTGCCAAAAGTGGTGGGCAGAAAAATCGTGTACAAATTCTATGGGATTTAGGTGACAAAAAGAAAAAGAACTAGAAATTGTGGTTGTGAACAACCACAGAGCTGTTCCCAATATTGATTATCTGTTGGACCCATAGACATACAAGTAGAGATCTATGTCTTTTTGCAACAGAACATAGGGCTTTTCCGCATTATGATTTGTTTTTATCAATAATACGTCCCTGACTATGAACATAAAATCTGTCAAGGTTAGCCGAAAATCGGCTAAAACGGTCACTGTGGACAGGATTTGACCTCAGCAACACGTGCGCTGCTGGCTGACTGACATACGATATGTACAACATACGTGCATGTACATGTACATTGTGGACGTCCTGTGCATGTTTTAAAGCAGAGGCATTGTCAACCTGAAGTTTTAAGCGTGCGTAGGGCATGTCCGAGTTTGTTTATTGCCTCGCAGCTTTCAAATGTTTTAGACCTACCCTTAAATCGACAATTAAAGTAAAAACTAATATAAAAACTGCCATGGTTGATTTTTCAGGAATTTTCAAAGGAAAAAGGGTCTTTTCATAAAACTTCCGGTTTGATGACGTCATACACCTTAAACTTCGCACACATGTTAAGTGGGTCACGGTCATCATATACACCAATATTTAGGCGATTCCGACAAACTTCGCCACAGACATCTATTCACAATACATTTTTGCAAATTTTCAACCTGTCGCTAGAGGGCGCTCGA